TAACAATTAAAAACTGCAGTCACGACGAACCCGGAAATACAAAGCTACGTGTCACTCGCCCATACATCATGGACTAGAAAAATGATACAGGAATAGGGGGGTTTTTTTTATTACTAAGATTGCAAAGAAGGGACGAAAAAGAAAAAGAGGCCTTTAGGTATAGAAAGGATTTCTTAGTAATAGAGTCAGAGAGGAAAGGTTGTTTTTTTTTTAAACATTAAATCTCACCTATTTATATTAGAGATAACGCGTTCGCTTGTGTATATTACGTAATCTTACACGTCTTACATATGCAAAAGATTATACCCTCAGCTGACCGGCAACATCAATGTCGCCGTTTTCACGTGATCTATTCTTATTGATAACATGTTATTTTGATTTTCTAATGGTTTGAAAACTGAGGTCACAATTCGTAATAATATTTATTTCGATCCATACCAACCTTTAGATATAATTTCTTTAAAACCATTATCTTTAAAACGTCAAACACAATTATTTAAAGAGATTCGTCCATATGTACATGATCCTTATAAAGATGAATTGTTTTTTGCTCCAAACAAATAATAAAACTTTATTTGTAATAAAAATTTCAATATACAGTAGATGAAAATTATATACGCAGTTTCTGGTCTTTTACATTCTAAATTCAGATTGCCGTTAGAACTTAAAAAATATATATATAATATTGATTCTAATATAATAAAATATATATCTGAAAAATATAATCCAATAAAAATCTCAATTTCGATTAGAATTTCTCTAAGCATGGTTTTGCTGTGTCTATATACGTTATCATTGTTTTAATAAAAAAATATGTATCGTTATATTGTATTACATTTGAAGTATTCTACGGGGGGTACTTTGGATCGCGCTATACGGTACTTGCATCAATTAGAAATGTTTGGATTTATATTCATTTCGAATTTATTTAAATGTTTTACAAGGACTTGGTTGGATACAAAAAGAATTCAATAAATTAGATTTCTTAATCGGGTACATTAAAACTGATATTTGATTATGATTTCTTGCATCGTAACTTTAAAATTTCGTTGGTGTCAGATTCATCATGACCATGAAAAGATATGTTCTAACATATTTTCATTTCATGCTATTTTTTTTTTAATAATTATGAGAATGAAAAAAAAATTAAATTAAGTCTCTGTGAATTATGAATGGGTGAGAATTGGACCGATTAAGAAAAAAAATAAATAAATAAATAAAAAACTTTATTTCGCAGAAACGGGTCTCTGACGAAAAAGTACAATGCTTTAAAAGGAGTAATCTAAAGACAATAGTATGTTATAACAAAATTCGAGCATAATCTTGATAGCATACATGATTTCCAAAAAAGACATTAACCCAAAGAAAAACCCATTCAATATATAATAAAAGCTATATCAAATTCCCTCTCTGAAACCCCTCCCTTTACACGCAAGTTGTAGGTTGAAATAAATAAATTAAAAGATTCGATGATTGCTGCGTAGAGAAAGAAAGATCCAGCTCTACGACCAAATAATAATTGTAAATACACTAATAATAATATAATGTCATTCCGTTGAAAAAACAAAATGTTAAATAATCAAGCATAGGTGAATAATGCTTATCGATTTGATAAAATCGAACAAATGTTTATTCTTAAATTCCTCTCCAACATCACCTGATTAATGCATCAAAGATTTACACAACTTCTAATTCGAAACCATTTCTATGGTTACCAAAAGCGACAGTTTCCATAAGCCCGTTCGTGAAGCCGTTAACATTGGAGGAAGTCATCACAGATGACGGGACATCATGAAATTTTTGGTGCAATTTGTTTTCAATTTTCACAGATCTCTCCCAACCACTTTCGTCATTCGCTGGAAATACGTTATTTCTGGCAGCCGATGCATATTTTATGGGTAGTTTTTCGAAAGCATCATTGGTCCACGACAAAACATCCTCATCACGTTCGTCAACAGGTGACGAATATAATGTTGCGCGTACGGGATATCCGGCGGGCGAGCTTGGAGTGTGTTGGGATGGGAACTGGGGAGCTGGGAATTGCGTGCAACTTGGATAATAGTTTGGAGACAGGAGAGCACCGTTGCGGTGATGATTATCGGAATCGCGTTTTTGTTGAGACCTTACCGAGTTTGTCGCATGATAACTATTTCCAGGATTTAAGTAGTGAGAACCGAAAAAGTAACCCTCGCTTTCATCATTTTTCGGTGGAGTGCCAGCCGGAGTCAAAGGAAAACCTCCATGTAATCCATCAGAAGCCTTAACATCATATTCTTTCACTTTCGGCGAGAAGGCATGATTCAACGAAAGAACAGGTGATTTAGAGAATAAGGAGAACGAAGAATGATGTTCCGGGATGGAAGCTGGTGTTAACGGTGTCGAGGGATTTGTTCCAATACCGTTGTTATTCATTTTTCTAAGGGGCGTACCAATTGGTTCTTGATTGTTGTGTTGAAATCTTGGAGGTGTGGAAGGTTGTTGAGAACTAGGAGGGATCAATAAGTTCCTTGGAGGTTGCTTTCTTGAAGAAGGCGTAGTTGGTCTTGGCCTTGGAGGAGAAGGGAGATACTTAAACTTTGATTCCATCAAATTTGGATCGTTGTTGTGATAGCGCAATTGATTGATGGCATTATCTAATTTTTGTTTTTGAAAGGATAAGAGCTTTTGTTCTTCCTCCAGAAGTAATTGCTTTTCCAGTAATTCATCGTCATCCAGTAACATATGCGACTGCGCGAAATAAGGAGTACTTGAACGTGTGGAATAATTTGATGGGGGAGTTATACAGGCGGCAAATGAACCACCGGGAGTTGATGACGTTGGCGAACTATCCCAGTCCAAATCTGAGAAAGAAAGAAAGGTAAGGTTAGATGCACCCCAAATAGCATACACCATACCCAAACAAAGTTATCATATCACTATCAAACAAAAAAATTGAAGAAGACGACCTACCAACATCGTATCTATTATTATTCAGATCCCTCAAGGTCTTTAATCTTGACCCATCGTCATCAATTTCACCAAAGGCATTCTTGTCGGGGTTCAATTCTCCCAACTGATGATGCAATCTCAGCGGTAGATATTCATCGTGCTCATAAGGACTAAAACCCAAAGGAGTAGTGGGCATGGAGTTCAAGGTGCTTCGACCAGAGTAATAAGGACTGGGGTTGGAATTAGAGTACGATCCATTAAATGATAAGCCGGAAATTGATGAAGCGCTACGCTTATGCTGCAAAACGTGTTGACGACCTGTATAGGATAACGGGTGCGGATGAGAGTTGGATCTCTGATGTGAGTGAAAAGGCCCAGTTGGATCACCTGTTTTTTCATCGATTGATAATGTATGATTAGTATCATGCGTACATCCTAAGGGCCACGTGCATCCGGTTCATGGGAAAAAAAAAAGAACATACCGTTCGTTCTTCTCAACGGTAAATGATTCGTTAAGGTAGCCTGACCAACCAAACCATTGTACCGATTATTGAAATTTGTCAATTTGGCATTTTCTAATAACCTTGATGCATTTGAGATCTCTACAGTGAATTTCGTAGAAATGAGGTGGTAAGTGATAAATCTCTTAATACCGAACGAAAAGGAGAAAAGGAAGCTCAAAAATGATAACCAATCTTACCATCAAATTGCGATTTGAAAGCACGAGCGTCAATCTCTTGTGAATCTGATGTTTTTCCGGGAGGTGAATAGAATGAAAAACATTAAGCACAATTTTACGTCGCTTCTAATCGATTGAAGATTCAAAATTTACCTGTGGTGATTTTATTCTGGTTTGCGTCATCATTCGAACCTCCGTCGGTTTTTGCAGCCAGACTATCCGTCACATTCATACTACCGGTAAGAGTGTCATCATCATTCCTCGTTGAATCACCCTTTTGCGAATCCAAAGAACTAGCAATGGACTCTTCGACCAAAGTATCGTCAATGAAATCGTTTTGGCTAACTAAAGCCGCACTGCGAGTATTAATAATATCGGTCATTATTGATATTAATTAAATAAATTTTTTTTTAACGTTTGATTTCTACGTGGGCTGGAGAAGTAAAAAGGGCTTCACCAAAGAGAAGATTGAGAAAAGAAGAGCATGTAGCTACGTCGTCAATGTCTCTCTTATGTTTTTTTTTTGTTTTTTTTTCTGAAAAAAACTTGCGTGTTTTTTCGCGGAAAAAAATATTTGGTGATGTGTGATGATGATGAGGAGGATGATGATGATGATGATTAGGGTGGTATTAATAATAAATTAAGTTTTTTTTTTGGCGTGAAAGAAATGCGCTCTCTCTGTCTCAATATGCCCCAAGGAAAAAAAATAGGAGAAAGACTGCTACACCGATGTTGCAGTTAATTCAGAAATCTTTGATGGAGAAACGTTAAAAAAAAATCCTTCGCAGCGAAGGTTTAGTTAGCTTTTGTTTTTTCAAAAAACACGCTGATTGAGAAAAGAGAAAGACGGTAGGAAGGGAAAAAGGTTGGGCAAAAAAGAAGTAAATTTTAGTCGATTTTAAAGCAAAGCCCAGCTATGTACTAGTGGATAAAGTGATTGGACGAGTTGTCTTGGACTAGTCATTTCCGGCGGACGGTTCTCTCTAAAATCAGTATCTCATTATACCATTTTCGAACTTTATATTTCCTTGTCGTTAATAAAGTGGTTATCACTTTTAAATTTTGACTTTTTGTACTGACGGTTGGTCGGTTAGAATAGTTTATTAAAAATTAACATATTCAGGAATTACGGAAATTAGTTCCAAAAATGGATTAATTTGGATATTAACAAAGAAATCGTAACCTAGCTCACCCATCTTTCCGGTTAAATCAAGTTGAAAAAGAAACAATATATAAGGTGTTGGTTAGTACATAAAAGTACTTATATGATGCGCATCAACGCTTCGGAGAAATAAACATACATTGTAGGATCATATGTTATCGGACTTTTTCATTTTCAAAAGGTTTCAGGTACGTATCACAATACGTAATTCATACATGTGTGAACACTTACCGCACCTCCCCCAGAGATTTTTCCACACTTAACTTTCATATACAAATTATGGAATTTTTTAAATCCCTCGGAATCGTCCATAAAAGTTCATGTGTGGTGAACTGGTGTGTTAAAGTATAAGGATTTTCAGGGCACATTGTAATATTCTCATGGACTATTGTGTCGACCGAAAAAAGAATGAGCATATTGCCGTAAGATCCATTATTCTGACAAGAAAGGTGCATTGTCAAAATGTCTTGTAACAACAGTCTTTACGGCTGCTGTTTTCAGCGTCATATGAAAAAGCATCAATTATATTTGAATGCGTCCACACCTTTAAAATTTCTCCAAAAACGGCCATCGAATTCCGTCGGCGTATAAGACGATCTACTCCATATCCTTACACGTGAAATAAGAATCTGCCCAGCCGGGTGAAATATACTAAGTGAGATGGTTTATTTTGTCCAAATCTTTATTGTATAATATCACATCAACATTCCACGCCATTCCCGATCGTCTTTTATGCACAGGATGCACATGCCTTATTTTACTTTGATGATGACGACAAGATTTCTCGTGAAAGGGATGATGGGAGGCTAAATTTGGAAATGCATTGCTTCGTTTCTGAAACAGGGTAACGATAGTATCGAAACATTTTTTTAAAGGGATCTCGAGATCCAAACGCACATCGACAGGCCGATGCCAATTATTATTTTTTTTTTTTACTTAATTTTTAATTTTAGAACATTCGACGAATACGCATTTGATAACGGAATGAGATTTGGTGGGTGATTCCTGGTTTCGACTTCATTTGAATGAATCTCGTGTGATACCAGCACAAAAGTGGTGTGTGTGAATTCCCATTTTAGGAAAACAAGGAGTACGCGAGACGCGAGATATGACGAATAGGCGGTTAATTCTTCGGTGCCAAAACTCGAGCGTATGCGTGTCATATTTAAAATTTCGAAAATCCCAAGTGCACGTGTGATTATTTATGTCAAATTGGTTTTTTTTGAAAATGAATTCGCAAATAAATTATAATGGCTCATACATAAATAATCAATGAACGGTCCACTTCTGTACATACTGCACACAATCATAATGAATATATGCAACCTAAATATAAAGCTGTGACTAATAAATCTGAAAATCTAGATAAAGAAGTACTGTGCGTGTATATGTATTTTCTTATATTAATTTTTTTATTTATTTATTATTATTAAATAAAAAGATTATGTGAATCTAATAAGCTTCAAAATGTTTTTTAATTCTACTATTAAATTTATTTATTTGTAAGTGACAATACATCTTATTATATTAACTTCATTATCAAATCTTTATTATTTATAAAGATTAAAAAAAACTATAAATGTATATACTGCATATATTGTTTTATTATCATGATTTTCCGCAATATAGTACCCCGGATCTTTTACATTCCAAGGCGAAAGTTTAATATACTATATATATATATATGTATATAAGAAATTTATTAGTAAAAAAAGTTGAGATACTAATTGCTAAAAATTAATATCCGAAAAAAATATACAGTATACAGTAAAAAACAAATTTACATAATAGATTTTATTTAATGTATTATTAAAATTTATTAAAATAAATTACATACAATAGTTTTTAATTTATCAATTTATAAAGTGAAAATATAAATACTATAATTAAAAATATATAAATTTTTTGAAAATTCATTTTATAAATTATTTTTTTCACTATAATTTTTATATAAATTATATATAGTATGGAACAAAATAATTGGAAAAAATCAAAACTTATATTTTTGTTAATAATTTAATAAATAATTAAATAATAAAAATAAAAATAACATATGTGTATATTTGAAAATATATAGAATAGAAATATATAAAAAAGTTTTTTAAATATATTAAATTAATATAATTAAATAATAATTAAAAAGAAACAGTAATTTAAAACTTTTAATTTTATTAATTACAAAAAAACAATAATATTAAGTATTAAAATTATTTCAATATATAAATTAATTAAATATAGATTAATAAAACTTTAAAATAATTTTTTTTATATTTTTTATTCTTTATATTTTCAAATACACACATGTTTGTTTTTATTTTAATTATTTAATTAATTATTAAATTATTAATAAAAATATGATTTTTGATTTTTTTCAATTATTTTTGTTTTATACTGTATATATAATATCAAATTTATTTTAAAAAAATATATTTTAGAAAAAATAAAATAATTAATCAAGAAATTTTTAAAACAATTGAATCAAATACTAGAATCTTAAAGATAATCAATATAAAAATATAAAAATATTAATAAATAAAATAAAAACAATTAATAAAAAGAACAAAAATATTTTATATTTAATAAAAAAAAATTTTAAAATTAAACAAAATTATATTATTAAAAGATATTACAAAAATATAATATCAATTTTAATTTTTTTTTTTTTTTTATATTAAAGAGCAGGATAACGATCCCTTCAGTTTATTTATTATAACTTTATAATAATTACAATATTACAAGAAAAGATATACGTCTCTCTAAACTTAGTAGAGTTAAACGCCAGGCTCAGTTGGCCCTCTACCCTGCTCTGGGTGCCCCCAAGACATATAGAAAAATGAAATTCAAAACCTATATATAAACGTCTTGAGTGGCGTCTAGTATCCTAGAGATAGTTGATTACCTAAACACATGAAGGCGCTGCAGCCATATTTTCACAGGTAGGCCTCCAAATCATGAGTAGGATTAGCACCCTTGCTTTCCAATTATGGCTTGATGTACGACAAGAGAAGTCGGTGATGGCATTACTGCCGGAGTTTGATTAGTTAATGGTTACCTTAATGCATGAAGGCGCTGCAACCACTTTATGCAGGTTGGCCTCCAAGTCA